TTTGGGGGGATTTCGGGTGGATTTGGGGGGATTTTGGGTCATTTTGGGTGGATTTGGGGGGATTTGGGGTTGTTTTGGGTGGATTTGGGGGGATTTTGGGTCAATTTCGGGGGATTTTGGGTGGATTTGGGGTCATTTTGGGTGGATTTGGGGGGATTTTGGGTCAATTTTGGGTGGATTTGGGGTCATTTTGGGTGCATTTGGGTGGATTTGGGTGGATTTTGGATCATTTTGGGTGGATTTGGAGGGATTTTGGGTTGATTGTGGTGGATTTGGGGTCATTTTGGGTGCATTTGGGAGGATTTGGGGTCAATTTGGGGTCATTTTGGGTGGATTTGGGTGGATTTGGGTGGATTTTGGGTCATTTTGGGTGCATTTGGGGGGATTTGGGGTCACTCACTCTTTCCCTTCCTCGTCGATGTCGTCGACTTCGTACCTGGAGGAGCCACAAGGGGGCGCTAAAGAGGCCGCTGAGGGGGCGTGGCCTGAGCCCCAGGGGGGCGGGGCTTGCTGCACAATGGGCGGGGCTTGGGGTGCAGTGGGCGGGGCCTGAGGGTTCAGGACAAGATTTGGGGCCAAAAAAGGTGGATTCCGACCGTTTTGCCCGCGGGGGGTGGGGCTTATCCACAAGTGGGCGTGGCCTAACCCAGGTGGGCGTGGTTTAACCCCAGAAGGGGCGGGGTTTGTCCTCAAAGGGGCGTGGCTTAACCTCAAAAGGAGCAGGGTTTGGCATGAAAGGGGTGGGGCTTAATCCAAGTAGGCGTGGCCTAATCCAGAGTGGGCGTGGCCTAACTCGACTAAGTGTGGTTTAATCCAGAGTAGGTGTGGTCTAACCACAAGTGGGTGTGGCCTAACCCTAAGTGGGTGTGGCCTAACCTCCGAAGTAGGTGTGGTCTAACCCCCAATGGGCGTGGTCTAACCTCAACTGGGCGTGGCCTAACCCCAAGTAGGTGTGGTCTAACCCAAATGGGCGTGGTTTAACCCAAGTGGGTGTGGTCTAACTTCAAGTGGGCGTGGCCTAACCCTAAGTAGACATTCTCTAACCCAAGTGGGCGTGGTCCAACCTCCAGTGGGTGTGGTCTAACTCCAGTGGGTGTGGCTTACCCCAAGTGGGGTAACCTCAAGTGGGTGTGGCCTAATTGCAGGTAGAAATTATTTAATCCAAGTGGGTGTAGCTTAACCCCAAGTGGGCGTGGTCTAATCCCAACTAGACATTCTCTAACCCAACTGGGCGTGGTCTAACCTAAGTGGGTGTGGTCTAACCCAAGAGGGCGTGGTCTAACCTTAAGTGGGCGTGGTCTAACCCCAACTAGGCATTTTCTAACCCAAGTGGGTGTGGCCTAACCTTAAGTGGGTGTGGCCTAACCCCAAGTAGGTGTGGTCTAACTTAAGTGGGTGTGGCCTAACCCCAAGTGGGTGTGGTCTAACCCCAAGTGGGTGTGACCTAACCCCAAGTGGGTGTGGTCTAACCCCAGGTAGACATTATCTAATCCAAGTGGGCGTGGTCTAACCCCAAATGGGCGTGGCCTAACCCTAAGTAGAGATGGCCTAACCCAAGTGGGTGTGGCCTAACCCCAACTAGACATTCTCTAACCCAAGTGGGCGTGGTCTAACCCCAAATGGGCGTGGCCTAACCCTAAGTAGAGATGGCCTAACCCAAGTGGGTGTGGCCTAACCCCAGGCAGACATTCTCTAACCCAAGTGGGTGTGGCCTAACCCCAGGCAGACATTCTCTAACCCAAGTGGGTGTGGCCTAACCCCAGGCAGACATTCTCTAACCCAAGTGGGTGTGGTCTAACCCCAGGCAGACATTATCTAATCCAAGTGGGTGTGGCCTAACCCCAACTAGACATTCTCTAACCCAAATGGGCGTGGTCTAACCCCAAGTGGGTGTGGTCTAACCCCAAATGGTCGTGACCTAATCCCAACTAGGCATTTTCTAACCACAAGTGGGCGTGGCCTAACCTTAAGTGGGTGTGGCCTAACCCCAAGTGGGCGTGGCCTAACCCTAAGCAGACATTTTCTAACCCAAGTGGGTGTGACCTAACCCCAAGTGGGCATGGCCTAACCCAAGTGGGTGTGGTCTAACCCCAGGTAGACATTCTCTAACCCAAGTGGGCGTGGCCTAATCCCAACTAGGCATTTTTAACCCAAGTGGGTGTGGTCTAACCCCAAATGGGCATGGCCTAACCCCAAGTGGGCGTGGCCTAACCCAAAGTGGGCGTGGCCTAACCCCAGGCAGACATTGTCTAATCCAAGTGGGTGTGGTCTAACCTCAACTACACATTCTCTAACCCAAGTGGGTGTGGCCTAACCCCAAGTAGGTGTGGTGTAACCCCAAGTGGGTGTGACCTAACCCCAAATGGGCGTGGCCTAACCCCAACTAGACATTATCTAACCCCAAGTGGGTGTGGCCTAACCCCAAGCAGGTGTAGCCTAACCCCAGGTAGACATTATCTAATCCAAGTGGGCGTGGCCTAATCCCAACTGGGCATTTTCTAACCCAAGTGGGTGTGGCCTAACCCCAGGTGGGCATGGCCTAACCCCAAGTGGGCGTGGCCTAAGCCCCCCAAAGGGGCGTGTCCCGGTCACTCACTTGTTGGCGGCGTGGCTGTAGCTGACCACCTCGGCCAGGATCCACTGCTCGTCCCCCTCCAGCGCCTTCACCCGCGCGGCCACTTTGTCCCCCGGCTTGGCCACGTAGTCCCCGGCCGCCGGCACCGCCCCGCACAGAGGGGGGGGCCTGGGGAGGGGTCAAAGGTCAGCCCCGCAGACCCCAGACCCAAATGACCCCAAAAAGCCCCACGTTTTACCCAAAAACTCCCGTTTTCA